GGGGGACCATAAATTCTAGATGATTTTAGATGCTCAGGAAAAAGATCCTATATTCAATGGGATGCTTATTAAGGAGATGGGAATGAGAAATAATAACATATCCTACTTACAGGAATGAAGCAGTCAGTCATTATAATGTCTCTCTCCTGTTCCTGAGGATGGTTATTCAGGCTGCTTTCTCCCATTATTGGAGGGGCAAGAAGGGTTAGAATTCCATGTGTTTTAGAGGCCACTTAGGCTATCCCCCTGTTTCCAGATAGGACTGTCCCCCAAACCTCCTCTATGTAAGATTATCATTCCTTGGAAAGGTACATCATTCCTTAACAAGCCTCACTGAAACATCCACTGAGATGTTTGGTGGAGGAACAGACTAGAGAGTGAAGGGCTGGCAGGCATCAGTTATGGTCAAGTCACTTAGCTTCCTGGTAATCTTATGTGTCTTCATCTTCATCTGTCAGACGGATAATCTGCCCTGGGGGGCTGATGTTCCCACAGAGAAAAGTTTATCAGTCTAGTAGGGAGGGACCTGGGATAGAAAACTCTGTAGAGAGACTCTTGACTAGAGGTCCTGTTCCAAGAAGGCATGGCAGACTCTGACCACAGAAACAGAAGGTATTTCAGAAAATTTATTTCGAGTGCTGAGCTGCCAACCTCAGGCAGTTTTGTGGTAAAATGCCTGGTGTGGATAGGAATGGATTTCTGTGTTGCCTGTACCAATCCATGTCCCTTTCTTGTCTCTACTCAGCACTCATTTCTGCATTGTCATCACTGGCACTCAACCAGGCACCTCATGCACCAATCCTAGACTAACCAGGGTGCTGACTAGGCAAGATCAGACAGGCTACAAATGGGTTTTGGTCCGAACCCTACCTAGCATTTCTACAATAGGAGGAAAGGGTTGCAATACAACCAAGCAGATAACAAAGCTGCCTGAGAGCTCTGAGAAGGCTAGAGCCACCTCTGTTCACTTTGGTTTACGTAGTGTCCAGCCAAGTATGATTCTTCCAGGGTTCCCGAATATTACCTCACCAGCAGTCTAGAGATCCCTCTTTGAACTGTTCCTTTACAGTTTAAACTAGGGCCAACTTCTGGCACTAGTTCTCTGGAGTTTTCTTCCAGCTTGGTTTAGAAACTGAGGTCTGGCTGGCCCCAAAGTAGATCCTTAACACCTGGACTTTCCCCAGCTAGATTCTCCTGTAAACTTCGAGCAAAAAATAAATGGCAAGAGGACTTTCTTGAAAGGCCACTACCATTTGGTGGACCCTGGATGCTCTCCTTTCAGCTGTCCATAACCCTGACTACAGAGAATTCCAGATCTAATAAAGGGGGCTCACAAAACAACTGGGCCACAGGAATACAGCAAAGGGCTTAAAAATGTTTTCTTTCATGTTATTTGTGACAAGGAAGTTGTAGTGATGGCTGAAGGAGAAGCTCAAGGTGTCCCTTGAAGTGGTAACCACAAAAGTAAGGAAACAGTGACAAGAAAGCAAAATTTCCCCATAACTTTTTACATCCACAATCACAGACTCTCAGAGCTGGAACGGATATCAGAGAGTATCTAGTTCTGCATTTATATGAATAAGAATCTTCTTTACTGCACACCCCAAAAATAACCACACAGTCTCTGTCTAAAGGCCTCTAATGACGATCCTCTCCATCTCTGCCTACTAGCTTTCAAGTCCTAGCTAAAACCCCACCTTCTATGGGAATCCTTTCCCAATTCCTCTGAATGCTAGTGCCTTCCTTCTGTTGACTACTTTTAAATTATCTTATTTATTGTTTGTTTGTACATAGTTTTGCATTCTATCTCCCCCCATTAGATTCTGAACTCCTTGACAGCAGGGCACATCTTCTGCCTTTCTTTGTATCTGCAGCACTCAGTACTCTGTCTGGTACATATTAGGCACTTACTGTTTGCTAACTCCTGATGTAGCCATTCTACTTTCAGACAGACTAATGTTAGGAATAAGAGGTGGGTGACACAGTATGGGTCAGCCCACCACAAGATTTCATTGATGAAAATACCCAAGTGCAGGAGATAAGGGGGGGATATAAAATTATACTCTTACGAAGCACTTGTCTGTGGAAAGCTTAACTTCTAGATCTCTCTTAGGAGGAATTTTTCAAAATAATCTTTTAGACCAAGAGAATTAAAGAAAAATAAACAGGAAACCCAGTTTAATTGCCAAAAAAAACAAACAAAAAAACAATACTGAGCTGTGCATAAGTTGAATGAGCCTGGCCTGAGAATTCCAAGGTAAGGGAAAGCTCAAGAACTGGTACATCAAGGATTTCCTTTTCCTAGTTTCTCAAGAGATTGATCTGAGAAAGAAAATCAAGTATCTGATGGTGATCGAGGAACTCACATGGCAGTTATTTTAGCTCATCAGGGGCTGTGTATAATCAAAGGCCGAGGCCTTGCCAGGTTAAGATGGCTTATAATCTATACTCTGTCCATCTATATACTGTCCATCCTCCAAAATCGGGGAGTCAGATATCCTTTCCCCCTTGGCCTTAAACACTTGGTTTCTACGGTATTTACAGGACATCCTGGGACTTCACTGCAAAAATGTAAACAGCAGCTCCAGCCCTGTTGAGCTTTGATCTAGAATTTCAGATTCACTCCCTTATTTATTTGTGCAAATCAGAGCTGCCCAGCTGTGAGGTTGCTTAAGGGAGTGGGATTGTGTAGTGCCTTCTGTCAAGCATCTAGTAATCAACAAAAACTGCAAAACCAGCTGCTTATCCCTTTGGACGTTCCTTCCCACACCTAAGATTCTGTCATATTTTGCTTTCAATTTCTGATTTCTGAACTTTCTCATAAGGTCTTTCACCATACAGACAGTCACTAGTTTAACATGGAACAGCCCAATATTTTGGGCCAAATCATGCCACATTCTCTATTGCCACTGCCTCGGGCAACACACATATTAATTACCATGTAGTATAACTTCCTGGGAATGGTGTTTATTATTGAAACTCTGGGCTTGTTGAGACTGACAGAGATACTTCTCTAGTTGTCTCACAGTTAGGTAAGGATCAAGAAATGAGAAGGCCTAGCCCAACCCATTCCTTTCTAGTTCTGCCCATCCATGGCAAACATCAGTTGAATATCAGCTGAACAACTAGGAAGCTTAGTCAGTAAAAGCTTAGGGTTTAGGAATTTAGGGTTAACCATTCTGACAAGCAGCTGTATGATCCAGGAAAAACTGTTTTGTTCACCTCTACTTCTGTGGGCCTAGGGAAAAACTTTTTCTTCTACCTACCTCAGTGAAGTCACAGCCTACGACAAACCTGTGGCTGTCTGCCCACCAGACATTTCACAGGGGATTACGCTCCTGATTGTAAGGATATAATATGACAATAACAGACCCTTATAAATATGATCCCATGTGATTCTCACAAATGTCTTGGGAAGTTGGTGCTATTACTTATCCTTATTTACAGATGAGGAAACAAGGCAGGCTGAGGTGAAGTGACAAGCTCAGGGTCACAAAACTATTAAGTGTCTAAGTCCAAACTTGAACTCAGGTCTGTCTGATTCTAGGTCCAGTGCTCTATCCATTACAGCACTGCTGCTATGTATGGTGGCCACCTTATTTTTCTCTCCCTTCTATGTTACTACTTTTATAAGATCGAAGGTAATGAAGAGTTAATAATAATGATGATGATGGTAATATTAGCTAACATTTATAGGGTGCTTAATATGCTCCAGGCACTGTGCTAAGTGGTTTACAAACAGTATCTCATCTTATCCTCACAACAACTCTGGGAGGTAGGTGCTGCTATTACCTCCATTTTATAGAAAAGGCAACAAATGTTAAGTGACTTATCTGGGGTCATACAGCTCCTAAGTGTCTGAGGCTCCATTTGAACTCAGGTCTTCCTGACTCCAGTCCCTGCACCCTAACCATTGTACCACCTAGCAGCTCTAAATAGGTGAGCAGAACATCTCCAACTCCACCCTAAATGGAAGATAAACAAGGTGAAATCTTGCCTTCTCTCCTTGCCCGGGGTAGGGCTGATGAAGATTTAGTTCACAGCTTTCTTCCTGGAGCTCTGAGAAATGGGCAAGTCAATACTATCTATCCTTATTACCAGGCTATAACTTAGGATTGCAAGATTTTAGAGTTGGAAGTGACTTTATATATCTTCAAGTCCTTCTTTATTGATCCATTGTTAACGCCTCTTCCCTTGGCCCTCCAAAAATGTAAGATGTCCAGGGTCCCTGCTGATAGGTTTCTAGCAAGCGGATGTCTTGAGGAAGATGCCCCTCCCCACAAATAAACAGTCTAGTATTATCTTTCCCCCTTTAGATCTAGTGACCTAAGACAGGCCCTCTCTCTCCTTCAATCCAGGAGCAGCTGAGCTATGAGGGCATCTCACAGGGGCCAGGCAACAGCTTCCAGGCCATCCTAACAAATGAGGACCTAAAACCAGAGTCCTCCCATCCCCCCACTCTAGCAAATGCTGCCCAGTTCAGAGGCGCAGTTAACTCCGAGTGCCACTTCCCTCCTACTCCTAACTGTGCAGCAGAGGGACAACCCTGAGCGCCCCAACCCCTAGCCAGGCTTCAGCAAAGGAAGCGCAGTATGCTCCAGAAGGCAGAGGAGGAACCAAACTGCCGAGCGCCCCTGGTCCCTCGCCCGGCTCCGGCGGAAGAGGTGCAGTAACCGTGTGCACCACTCCCCACCACTGGTGCAGCAAAGCAGGGAGCACCACCCTGCGCGCCCCAGCCCCTCTCCAGTCTCCAAAGAGGCCGAGGCGCAGTCACTGAGCGCCTCTCCCGCCCCCGCTACCCCGCGCAGGACTAGAGAGAAAAACCCCATGCGCCCCAGCCCCTCTCCAATCTCCAAAGGGGAAGGAAGCGCTGTCACCCCGCGCCCTTCCCGCCCCGGGTGCAGCTGAGGAAGGACCACCACTCTGCGCATCCCCAGGCCCTCGCCAGGCTCCAAAGGAAGAGAAGGAGCCGTCACCCCGTGCCCGCCCCAGGCCCTCACCGGGCTCCAGCAGATCAACGGGTCTGTCTCCGGATCGCTCACTAGGGTCCACAGCTTGGTCAGGAAGGCAGGGACGTTGCTGGGCCCCGCCACACCGAGGCCCCCGGGCAACTCCATTCCGGGGGCCAGCGGGCTGGGCTGGGCAGGGCAGGGCAGGGCGGGCAGGCGGGCACCAAGGGAGGAGGGCAGGGCAGAGGCAGGGAGGGGAGGAGAGGGCCGGCCTGCTGCGAGCGGACCGGGTACAGAAGGAAGGAAGGCTGGCGCTTTAGCGCCGCCGGCGCTGGAGCTGCAAGGGATCCGCTGCCTTGGCCTCAGGCGCCGTAGCCGACTCCGCCACTGCCCGAGCCGCTACCGCCGCCCGCTGCGCAGACAGAACTCGGGGACCCAGCATGGCCGCCGCCATCTTGCGACGGGCTCGCCCCCGGCGGCGTCGACTACCTACACGCGTGCGCGCGCGTGACGTTCCCTCCTCCCAACGGCATCCCAGCCCCGCCTCTCGCGTGCGCGTTTATGTCTTCCTGGCCACTCTTTTTCCTTGCTCTCGGCCCCTACTCCGCGATGAACGCTTTGGCGCATGCGCACCTTGACTCTTCGGGAACGAGGAAAGGAAGGGTTTTCCCCAGCGCAGCTTCGGCGTCTCTGACGCGCCCGTAGCGGCGTCGAGCGCAGGCGCACACTACCTCTGATCCAGAACCGGACAGGAAGGGGAGGGAAGAGAGAAGAGAGGAGGTCTACGGCCGCCAGAGCCAGGAAGCGGCGCGAGGAGCGGCGGGAACATGGCCGGGGCGCGGGGCGGGAGGCGCGCAGGCATGGGAGCAGGAGCCCCAGCGGCGGCCCGAGCGAGGGCCGGGAAGAGGCCCGCGGAGCAGCAGTGCGAGCTGCAGGAGGCGGGGTCCGGCGAGGAGGTGACAGCGCAAGGCGGGCCATGTGCACGCGGGCGGCGGGGAGGGGAGGGGACGGGACGGGGGACGAGACAAGGGGGCGACGAGGGGAGGGAGATGAGGAGGGGGCGCTGAGGGGTCAGGGCAGAGGTCTTTAAGGGACGAGGATGGAGAGGAAAGGGAGGGAGGGGGCCCTTAAGGGCAGCGAAGATGAGGGGTGGTTGAGGGCATAGGCACGACGAAGGGGCCCTGAGGGTGCGGGGAGGGAAAGGCCCTGAAGTGACAGAGATAGTGAGGGGGTGGGCACTGGGAGGACGAGCAGGGAGAGGGGTCCTGAGGGGGGAGAGAGTCAGTAAACAGCCAAGCACGGTGCTAATCACTGGGGTTACAAAAAGAGGCAAAAGGCAGGAACAGGAAAAATGGGGGTTCACTGAGAATAGGGGGCATCGAGGGGATAGGGATAATGGGCAGTGAGGGGACAGGGACGATGAAGTCCAGAAGGGAAGGGGCCACTGAGGGGAAAGGTGCTGATGGTGGGGGCCAAAGGAGATAGAATGGGTTGGTGGTGATGCTTGGGTCTGAGATGTGGGGATTGGTGATTTAGAAGGTAGAGGAATTTAATGGGGAAGAATATTGATTGGGGCCTGAGGAGATTTTATGACTAAAGGGGTGCTGAGGAGGTAGAACTGGTGGCCTTAGGGAGGATGTGAGAATGTGGAAGGTAAAGAGAGGACCCTAAACATTGATTGATAACGTTAAGTGGATATTTTCAAAGGGGTGATTTAGGTGTAGGGATTAGTGGGGTACAGAGGGGACAGAGTGGTTGGGAGAGACCCTGAGGGAATAGAAGGACCCGAAGAGATTTTTTTTATTTTTTATTTTTTTGACCTGAAGAGATTTTAGAAAACCTGTGGAGTAGTGGAGAAGGAACCCTAAGAAGTGGGTCTGAGGTAAACTGGAGATGTCTGAAGAATTGGTGCTCTGGGGTAGAGACGATGTAGGGGCCATTTATAGTGGAAAAAGAGCTGAGGTTGATGGACCAGAGGAGACAGGATTTGGGGGTGTTTGAGAGTTAGAGTGGAGAAACTGAGGAGATAGTGAAATACCATGAGGTGGGTTTGTTTAGGAAGTAGGCATGCTGAAAGGAGAGGAGTCTGAGGAAGTGAGGGAAGGCCAGACTCAGGAGAAGGGAAAGGAGTTTGAGAGATAAGAGTCCAGATGGAGGAGTAGGAGAGGGACTAAGGAATATGGGGCCCAGGAGAATACCCTGGGGAAAGAGATAGTCTTTTTGGATCCAATCCCTAGCGATGTCAAGGCACTGGCAAATGAAACCTTCTCCTCCACCCTTCAGTTGCTCCTCTGGTTATATTTTTCTGAATGAGTAGCTCTCTCTAGGGTCACTCGATACCCTTGTCACAGGGACCCTTTTAGCATAGTTCTGCTTTCTCTATGCAATCTTTACCTCTCTAATCCCTTAGGTGAGTTAAAAACTTTGTTTATAGCAGATGTGGATTCTGTATCAGAGTAGTGTCAGACCTGAAAAGGACTGTAAGATGGGAGTTCCAGGAGCTAGGTATTTCCTCATGGGGTATCCAGATACCTTTCAGGGCCTGGAATTTGCCATCCTTTTCCACATGACCTGTGGATTGATTATTGCTATCCTTATCACCCACTTTTACATGAGGCTGTTTGCCATCATGGGTCTGTTTTGCTGGTCCACAGAGGAAGGCATATATCAGGAGTAATTTAAATGCCTAAATATGCGACACTGGGAGAACAAGAATAAGTTCATTAAGGGTACAGTTTATATATTATACCCCTCTTCATCCTGTGTAGAACCTAGCAGAGTTGTATACTTGCTGAGAGATGATGAATGACCAGATGAAAGGGGCTCTAAACTGAGTAAGAGCAACTCAGAGCCCCTGGATGAAGGAATTTGGGAATAATAATAACAGTAGCTAACATTTATGTAGCATTTGCAGAGCACTTTAGGTTATCTTCTTTGATCAGTATTGAACCTGATCTGCCCTTCCGGCTAATGGTGCCTGTCAACTCTTCTACTCACCTCTGACTGGCACCATGGTATAGTTGGAAGGGGTCTTTGGTGGTTCTATACCATGATATAAATGCTTCTTTGGCAGCTGCCTCTCTTCAACCATCCAGCCCCCAGCCAGAGTGCAACAGACAGTGAGTCTGACCCATCCGACAGTGAAGAGAGTGTGTTCTCAGGTCTGGAGGACTCTGGCAGTGACAGTAGTGAGGATGATGCCAGCAGTATTGAAGATGGACAATCCAGGAGCATCCCAAAGATGACTCAGGAGAAGTCCCAGGTACGTGAAAAGGTCTTAGGTAAAGGTTCTTCTGGAAACATGGAGATTGTGTGCTGTTCCTTTCTTTGAGCTCTCTGGCTTCAGACTGCTTTACCCCTTGGTGCCTTTAGGAGTACTGAAGACTTTATCCTTCAGCATTCTTTATTTTTTTTTTTCTTTTTTAGGCAATTGGAGTTAAGTGACTTGCCCAGAATCACACAGCTAGTGAGTGCCACCTAGCTGCCCCAAGCATTCTTTAGCATTGTGTAATCAGCCAACAAGTTTTTAAGGCCTTACTATGGGCTAGTTACTATGTTATGTGCTGAGGATAGAGAGACAGGAGAAATACCTTTAGTCAAGGAGCTAAGCAGTGGAAAGGGTACTGGACTGGGAGCCAACAGGCTTGAATTCTTTTATTTTGTTTTATTTTTTAAATTTTGAACTTAAAAACCAAAAGAAGAACATTTCCATTAAAACATTAAAAAAAAGGATTGCATGTGAAAAATGGAAATCTCTACTTTAATACAGCTTTTGAAAAAAAGAGTATAAATTACACATTATTTTAAAACCTGTCCTATTTCTTTGTGCTTCTGTCTGAATTTCCTTTTGTTCTCTTATGTGCATTTGGAAAAATGTTTCAGTGGTCTGCTTTTTATTGCTAACCCTCTCTATTTCCTCTCCACGCCAACCTCTCCCCCATTAAAAAACTGAGAAAAAGGGAGAAAAAACTTGTAAGAAATAAGCATGGTCATACAAAATGAATCCACATGGTGTCCATGTCCAAAACTACATGTCACTTTATGTACCTTGAGTCTGTCACCTCTCTTTCAGGATTTGGGTAAACTTATTTTGTCATAGGTCCTCTAAAGACATGGTCATTGGATTGATTAAAGTTGTTTTGAAGTCATTTTTCTTTACAGTGTTGTTGTCCTTGTATGGATTGTTTTCCTGATTTTGTACACTTCACTCTTTATTAATCATACTTACTCTGAAATTATCTCTTTCTTCTATCTCCTGTAGTGCAATAACACGCTTTTGTATTTATATACCATGGTTTTCAGCCATTTTCCAATTACGTAAGAGGAAATCTGGGGTACCTGCTTAGATTCGAGTTCTTTGTGTTACACTCCCCCCAACTTCCCCCCTCCCCCCAGCCAATCCCTCCTTCAGGATTAGGAAATTTGTTTTGCTTTTGGCTCTCCACTCCCTCCCTCATATTACCTCCTCTTTTAACTTCCCTGCTTGTTTCTCTGTTGAATTTAATGTATTTCTGCCCCAGACTGTTGGTATGTGTCCAAACCATCCTTGTCCATTTCAGATAAGAGTGAGATTCATCTGATTCCTACTCCCTTGATCCCCTTCCTCTGTGTTTGTATACTTTTCTTACATGCTCAATTGTAAGAATTAGCAACTCCCTCCCTCCCCCCCTTTTGTGTACTAATATATTTCTTTTACTCTCCTTTCTCTTTTCCTTCTTCAAACCCTCAGAACAGGACCAGTCCATCCCTAGGTCTTCTTACTCTTTCTTATTTAATTCCCTCAATACCCTTGAAGAGGTTGAGGTCCTGATGGGATACTTGTTTCTTTCCTCGTATTAGAATTTTAACATTACAATATCACACATCCACTTCTAACTTTCTAAGTTTCTCTTGACTCTTTCAGAAATGCTTCAAAGTCCTCTATTCCATTTTAGGTTTGTATTTTCCCCTATAAGATTATATTCATCTTCGCAGGGTAGGTTATTGATTGTAAACTCATATCTTTTACCTCTTGGGATATTATATTCTAAAATCTCTTGATCACATTAGAAACTTCTGTGTACCTCAGTATTTGACTCCTTCTGGAGTCTTACAGCATTTTTTTCTGGATTTAGGTTATGTTATTCCTGGGATTCTTCTCTTCACTTTCCTCTCTGGTTCTAATAAATCTGGGCGGTTTTCATTTTGGTTCTTTGAAATATAATGTCCATGCCTTAAAAAAATAATAATGATTTTTAGGGAATCTGGTGACCCTTAATTGATCTCTCTTTGATCTGTTTTCTAGGTTGGTTGTTTTTGATATGACATCTAAAATTTTCTTCTATTTTTTCAATCTTCTGATTTTATTTTAATGTTTCTTTTCTGTTTTATACCGACACTGATTTCTGCTTGGTCTATTCTAGTTTTCAAGGAGTCCATTATTGAAGTGGGATTCATCACTTTTTTCTGCTAAGCTATTTCTTTTCCTTACAGTTCTCCTCTACAACTTTTATTTAAATTTTTTTTTTAATCTCTTCCTTCATTTCTTCTAGGTATTCATGTAGTCACTGTGGTAGATCCATTTTTTCCTTTGAATCTCTGCTTGAAGTTATTGTGGAGTTTTTTCTCCTTTTTGGTAATCTCTAGATTTGCAATAATTTTTTATTCTAGTTTGTATTTTCTTTTATTCATTCATCTTTTTGGCCTTAGTTCCTGAATTGGGGCTTGAGGCCACGGCCAGGGCCTGCCCCCAGCTGTGCTTTTAGATGGGGTCGTAAGCTCTGCTTGGTCTAACACTGGGTCACCTAGTTTGCTGCTCTGACCTCTTTTTGGGGTTTAGTATCATTGGATCTTTAAGGTTTAGAATACTAGGCCCTTAGGGCCCTCTATGACATCTCAGGACAGAGTGCCAGGGACCTTGGCACAGGGCTGTTGGTTGAGGCCTTATTCACATTTTTCACTGCTGTATTTATACTAGTCAGTTCTGTTTCTTGGAGCTTCTAAGAACCCCACTTTGGTTCGTAGCACCTCAGGTAACCCTCTACTCTTACTGTCTCTGAATAAGAGTGCCTGAAGGCTTCGTATATTACTGGTTCACTTGGGCTTGTTTGCCTGTGCTGGTGCTTGCTTTACTGGTGATCCCCTTTCCTAGTCAGTAGTTAGTAAACATTTATTAAGCATCTATCATGTATGAGCACTTTGCTAAGTGCTGGGGATGCAATTACAAAAAAAGAAAGATAGTCCTTGCCCTCAAGGAGCTTACAATGGCGGGGGCACTGGCACCCCTGTCCACAGTGGGGAAACACAACACACATAAGGAAACTGAAAAGTGGGAAAGTGGGTTGTGGGAGCAAAGATATGGGGCAGGGATGAGAGGGGATGGAATGGTGGAGAAATCAGAGAAGACCCAAGGTAGTGCATCCAGGTGAGAAAGGAGGAGGTATCTCTGTTGAGACCTTTCTTTAAATGGGGGCTTTGGAATTCATGGCTCTGCCCTTCAGTTAGAAGGGCATAGGGTAGTGATGGGGTATGAATACCAAGGCTGATTGGATCTTGCAGGATGATGAGGTTCCTACTGCCTATGGCCTGCTGGCTGGCTCTATAGACCTGGAGTAGAATAAGTCACATACTATAGTTTCTCAGTGGATTTCTTGATTGTTATTTGGTCTGTTGTGAATTTCAAGTTTTTGCCAGAGTAGGTTTGGGAGCATTGGGCAGCTTGCCTCTGCAGGCAGCTATTTTAGCTGGCAATCCCTAAAAGGCCTGAATATCCCCAGATCCACCAATTTCTAGCCTTGTGACCTTGAACAAGTCACCTCACTACTCCAAACCTCAGTTTCCTCATATGTAAAATGGGTATGAAATACTTGTCCTGCTTATCTTATAGGGCTTTTGTGAGGCTAAAATGAAATAGTGGATGTATAAGTTCTTAACTGTTGTCAACTGACCAGAACCAGCATCTAATCTGGGAATGACTGGAGCTGAATATAGCAGGCCCGAGGCAGGTGTTTCAGGGATTAAACAAAAGGTTTTTTTTGTTTGTTTTAAATAATACATTTATTTATTTACTTTTAGTTTTCAACATTCACTTCCAGAAGATTTTGAGTTCCAAATTTTCTCCCCATCTCTCCTCTCCCCCTACGCCAAGATGGCATGTAAATTGATATAGGCTCAATATATACATTCATATTAAACCTATTTTCACATTAATCATGTTGTAAAGAAGAACTAGAACCAGTGGGAGAAACCACAAGAAAGAAAGAAGAAACAAAAAAAAGAGAGTAAATAAAATGCTTCGATATGCATTCAGACTCCATAGTTCTTTCTCTGGATGTGGACAGCATTTTCCATCATGAGTCTTAGAACCTTGCATTGTTAAGAACAGATAAGTCTATCAAAGTTAGTCATCACATAAGGTAGCTGTTACTGTGTACAGTGTTCTTCAGTCAGCAGAACATTCATATAAGTCTTTCCAGATTTTTCTGAAGTTGGCCTGCTCATCATTTCTTATAGCGCGATAGTATTCTATTACATTCATATACCACAACTTATTCAGTCATTCCCCAGCTGATGGGCATTCTCTCAATTTCCAATTCTTTGCCACCACAAAAAGAGCTGCTATAAATATTTTAAACAGAAATTTAATTTCAGAGTGAGGGAAATGCTTGCAAGTGGAAGCCCCCCTCCTGAGAAGGAGGGCTTAACATGCTGAGGCAAAGGCAGGTCTTATATTCATAAAAAAATCACAAATAAGCTGGACAATAACACAGTTATTCTTAGTTCCCACAGCAGGCTCATGAGTGGACAGTGCAGGCGTTCCTGGGTCCTGTGGGAACAGTTCTTAAGTTGATTGTCTTAAGTCTTAAGGGTTGTTGAGCCTTGTGATTATTCAGTGGGGTATAGAACCAGAGTTAATGTGATGGGAAAAGGACAAGCACAGGAAGTCAGGAATTGTTAGCATGTTGGGAGATTTTGATAGATGACTTTAGGCTGTAGCACGTTGACTCTCAAATCCTTGGGAGATAGGGAGAGTGTCCAAAAATCTAAACCGTGATTGGTTAATATGAAAATCGTGAATCCCACAGTGAAAACCTAGTACTGGTCAAAGCAATACACTTTGTGAGAGGGTGAGATCATCCAGAGCCCAAAGGATTGTTGTTATGCCTTTCAGGGTGCAGCCTGCTTGCTGGACCTTAGCTCTGGGAAGCAGGGTGTCTCCAAATACCCTACTGTTAAGGGCTGATAAAGGTAAGGCATTGTTGTTATTTGGTGGTGAATAGAAGT